CCTTGGCACCCCTCCAATCCCCACCCCCCTACTGCCTCCATCCCTCCCAGGCTCTCCCCTTTAGCCTCAATCCTGACCCCTCCAGCCCCTTCCATCCCTCTGGGGGTCTCAGGGGTCTCCCAGCTCCCTGGGGTGCCCCCACTTGGTCTCCTCCTCCACCCAATTCGGCCAGGACCCATTCCCTGCCCCTGCCCTGGGGTGCTGGGTCCCAGCTAACCTGAGGGCAACCCTGACAGACGGTGACCGTAAAGGAGGATCAGCTTATGCAGCAGAACCCACCCAAGTTCGACAAGATTGAGGACATGGCCATGCTGACCTTCCTCCATGAGCCGGCCGTCCTCTACAACCTCAAGGAACGCTACGCCTCATGGATGATCTACGTGAGTCCCCTGCCCCCTCCCCTCGCCCATGGGGCCTGGAGCCTTAGAACCACCCCCAGGCAACCCTGATGGAGGGGGTTGTACAAGATGACTTCTGGAGGTCCCTTCCAGCCTGACTTCTCTACAAGTCTACAAGATCAGGAGAAGCACTATCATCTTGGGCCTGGACAGCCCAGCTGGAGAGATTGCTGCCTCTTGGGGCTGGGGGGGGGTCTAGAGTGACGTCATTGGAGATGCCCTAGGACTGGGGGTTCTCAATCGGGGTTACTGCTCTAGATCAGGGCCATGAGAGATGCCCTGGGACTGAGTTGTCTACACAGGACTACCAAGATACGTCTTACGGTCGGGTGTTCTAAATGAAATGTACCCTGAGGTAGTGTGTGGATCAGGGTAACAAGAGACACCCTGTGGTTGGTTGTCCCAACCCTGAGTAATGAGAGATGCCCCGTAGTTGGGTATTGGAGATCGGGGTCATGCAAGATGTCCTGAAGTCAGGTGTTCTAGATCTGGGCCATCAGAGATGTTCTGGGGTAGGTGCTCTAGACCAAGACATGCTCAGCTTGTTATGGACCCAGGCATTCTAGACTATGGGGAACCAGCATCCCTCTGGAGCCAGATACCCAGGGTGCACAGTGCGGGGACCCTTCTGGAGCCCTCATGCATGGGCCTTTGAGCCTTTTCCAGAGGGTGACACTCTAGAGCCAAGGGCCTCATAGCTACCCTGTGTCAGACACTCTAGATCCAGGTTGCCAGGCTGTTCTGGACCAGGACAGCTGATTCCCTGGCCTTCCATCTGGTCATCCAGACCCAGGACATGGGTGGGGGCGGGTCCTTCATTTGCTTGGGGCATCCCATCCCCTCCAAGCTGAAGCTGGGCAGCACCACTGCTTGACCCCTGGGCAGGAGAGGGTCTTGCCATTCTTATCCTCCCTCTCTCTCTGGTCCTAATCCTGTCCTTTCCCCACCTCTCCAGACCTACTCAGGGCTGTTCTGCGTGACCATCAACCCCTACAAGTGGCTGCCGGTGTACAATGCAGAGGTGGTGGGTGCCTATCGGGGCAAGAAGAGGAGTGAAGCCCCGCCCCACATTTTCTCTATCTCTGACAATGCCTATCAGTACATGCTGACGGGTAAGAAGCAGTCATGTGGCCCACACCATAACTCCTAGCCCCTAACTCTAATAATACCCTTAGCCATAACCTTACCCCTAACCTTAATTATACTCCTGACCGTGACCTTACCCTTAATTATACCCTTAGCCATAACCTTATCCCTAATCCTAATTATACCCTTAACCATAATCCTAGCTCTACCCCTTCATCTTCTCTGTCCCATCCTACCCTGCATACTGGTGGGTTTGCAGACCTCGCTGCTATTCTGGAGAAGGCAGTGCTGGGGGCAGCGGGATGGGGCAGTTAGATCTTAGCTATCTCACTTTCTTTCTTCTTTTCCCCTTCTTGGCCGCAGATCGGGAGAACCAGTCCATCCTCATCACGTGAGTCTTCCCCTTGCAGTCACCCCAGGGCCCCTTCCCAGGAAGCCAGGGCACTCCAGAAGCATTTGTACCCTTGCCTTCCAATACTGTTGCCTCTTTTATGTCATAGTGGCACCCCTTCCTGGTGTAGGCCTGCCCCAAAGGCTGTACCTCCCTGCCACCGACTGAACCCCTAGCTCTACCTATTGGAGGGTTAGCACTGAAGGTGTAGCCCCACCCCCTTGAGGTTTAGCTCCACCCCTTGATGTTTTACCCCACCCTTGCTCAAGTTCTGACCTGCCACCCCCTTATACTTCTTTGCTCTGCCCCACCCCCCATATCTTACTATCTCTACTGCCTCCCCCCTCAGCGGAGAATCCGGGGCAGGGAAGACTGTGAACACCAAGCGGGTCATCCAGTACTTTGCGGTCATTGCAGCCATTGGCGACCGCAGCAAGAAGGAACCGGTTGCCACAGGCAAGGTGAGCACCCCACTCCCCCATGGGTATGCACATCTGTCCAAGCTGACTGTCTATCCCTGCAGTCCTTTAGTGTTGGATGCATGGAGCCATCTGCCTATCTCTATGTCCCTCTTCCTATCCATTCCTGTATCTTTCATCCAATCATATCCTCCATCCATCCCTGTATCTATCTCAGTATCCATCCACTCATCCCAGTATGATTCGTTCCCATGTCCTTCCTTAATGTGTTTATCTGTGCCTATGCCCATCCATCCATCCCTGTCACCCATTCTCTGCCTTACACTGTCTTTCCTGCCCTCTGACGATATCCTTTTCCTCCCACTTCCTCCATGCCTATCTGATGTCACCTACCACCTCAGGGGACATTGGAAGATCAAGTCATCCAGGCTAACCCTGCCCTGGAGGCCTTTGGTAATGCCAAGACTGTCAGGAATGACAACTCATCCCGATTTGTGAGTGTCCCATGATTGGGGCAGGTTGGGGAATAGCTCTTTCAGATGGGAGCCTACAGGAGGGCTCTGCATGTGGGATGGATAGGTCTGGAGGCTGGTGTCTGGCTGGGAAAGGATCTTTGGGGCCATCCCTGTTATACAAGTCCTTACAATGGGCATTTGATGACTCTCATTCCTCTTCAGGGTAAATTCATCCGAATTCATTTTGGGGCAACAGGAAAGCTAGCCTCTGCTGACATTGAGACCTGTAAGTGTGATGGACACTATTGTTCTCAGTGTTGTTCCCCACCCCTTGAGTCTCATCCTTCATGCACCTTCTCCATCTCTCCCAAGACCATCTCTCTCATCCACCTTTTTCTTCCCTTCCCTCAGATCTCCTGGAGAAATCCCGGGTTATCTTCCAGCTCAAGTCTGAGAGGAACTACCACATCTACTACCAGATCCTGTCCAATAAGAAGCCAGAGCTGTTGGGTAAGCCTCACTAGCTGATGGTGCTTGGATTGGTGGGTCACCTTTCTATGTTGGGTTGAGAGGCCTCCAAGTAAGTGGGTAAGCTCAGGTCTCACTAAGATCCTCAGCCTCAGGTCTGTATGAGGTGAGTTGAAGAGTCTCCAGTCTTTGAATGGAAGGACTGTGGTTCATCCTGAGTTGAAGAGTGGGCCCAGTAAGCCCAGAGTCCTGAAATGACTCCCCTGGAATTGAGTCAAGTGGAGAGTGGGGAGAGCTCTAAGCCTTCCCTTCCTGGATTCAATGCTGGCTGGGATCAAGCTGACTGAGACCCCATCATGTGGTTTCCTATCCAGTTGAGTAGCCTCATGTATCAATGATTCCACAAACCTCACATCACATGGCTCCAACTCTGGTTGACTCCAAATTGTGGGGCCCATATGTGACCTTCCCTTGAGTTGGGTTGCATTTCTGAGTTCTGTTAGATTGATTTCTGTCAGCACCCAACCGGGAGTAGGAGCAGAGGCATCACCTAGATAAGGGTTTTCTCCTATTGGGCAAGGCTGCCTCACTTGCCCCCTTGTCTTCCTCCATAGACATGATGCTGGTAACCAACAACCCCTATGACTACGCCTTCATCTCCCAAGGGGAGACTACAGTGCCGTCCATTGATGACGGAGAAGAGTTGTTGGCCACTGACGTGAGTAGCACCTGAAGACTGCCAAGGCAACTTGGCTAGAAGACTCCTCCAGACTTTAGTGGAGGACCCATGGAGGGACACTTTTCGATGACA